TAATAATTAAATAATAATAAATAGAACAAATAAAAGAAAGAGAATTTCTTCTGTCAAGCGGACTCTCTTCTCGCAAAGCAATATGTCGAAAACATCGCCGAATGTTCGAGCGTTCTCTATCTAATTCGCGATCAATGAACAATGAGGATGGGGGAAGTCAACGAACCGGATGCAGTTCACCACGATCGAGCAACAATGCCTCGCGACTAGATAACACGGCGGACTCACGTATGCTGTTTCAATTCACGTTACACTGCAATTACTCCGAAATGTATAATAATCACGTGTGCACGCACAGACACATAGACGTGGTACATGCACTTCTTTGTAATAGATAAAGTTTCGATCGTGTCGATAAACGTACGCACGCACGGGACAGTCACTCGCTCCTGTCACTTGCCGCTCACATTGACGTCACGATGATGATTGTTTGCTCCAACACCGTGTGCATCGTTACGTGTGCATGTGCGCGCGAATCAATAGCGACTAATAGCGGTGCGAACGATTTGAAAATAGCTTCGGCGATTTTTCATTGGCGAGAAAGGATTAGGCGAAACTAGGATCGGATGGATCAGTAATAGTACGTATTTCTTGGACACGGATAGGAATTATCATCGTTGTTTCAAGACGTATTTGATTCTGAAGAAACAGGCTTTAACCTATTACGAGAAAAAAGCGAATTTAACATGAGCAACATGATTTCATTTCCGTCGTACGGAGAAAATAGACGACAACTGCTCGATATCTTGTTTATTTATTAGAAACGGACAATCTGCTGCTTGTAGATACACCGCGATACATCATGCTACGATAATTTCACATCGCACAGTTCACTCCGCGAGCTGATAAGTGCAGCGAGCAATATCCAGCGCTTTTTGAAAATGTTTACGGTCGGGGGAATTTTTTTCAAAGGCAAGGTCCGTCCGGCCTCTTCAGCAAGATTAGCCCACTTACATAAATACTCGCGAGGCGAGTCCCTTGCGCATCTATCGCTAAACTTGCGCTCTGTCAATTACATCTGACCCGATTTGCGTCAATCGATTCGACCCAGAACTCGACGCCGGTCTCCGGAGATCAGGGCAGAGACGCACGCGCAAACTTGCTCGGCCAATCTCTGACCAGGCGGAAAGGGACGTGTCCGTAATCCGTCAATAATTCGCTGTCTGATTTTTTTTTCTCGCGATCGCGGACTACCAAATCCGCGTCATCCTCTCAGCACGCGAATACGCGGCGATCGAACGATCGAGATCAACTGTAAGACTGATCGAATTGATTTTTCCAATGGTCTGGTGATAAACGTCACTCGGGAAATGGAACGAAAAATGGAGCTTGGATGGCAAAAATTAATCGACTCGGCGGCTGAAGAGAAGACTTTCAGATTTGATTGGGAAGACTCTGAGACGAAAGATTTGCTCGCGAGAGAGCTCACTGACCGGTTAACCTTGTTCGCCTCTGCGAGTCGCGGAAAAACGAGGTCGCTCGAAAATCTTGGCCGATGATCGTCGAAAATCTAGCGCGAAACGCCTCTGTTCGTCTTTCTCGTCTTTCTCCTCTTCGTCAATAGCAACTTTGCTCCGCAAAGACGTAATCATCTCTGAACTGCGTTTCCCTTTTCGGCCACAACAAAGTCGATAAGCATGTTTTCGCCTGCCGCAATCGAAATCGTACGAGATACATTCGAGTTTTCAACGCCTTTTCAACGTCGATCACCAGTGTGTTTATACGATAACCGTGCGTCTTATCAGCCGCGAGAAGTTTTCGTCGAGGAACTCGACTGGATGTCTAAACCACCTTTCTTTCGAGTGCTTTCAAACGTTTCAAATACGCACGTGTGTCCACAGTGTCGCAGACCTCCCACGCGCTCGAGATACGAGCAGAGATGAGACGGAATTTACGTGGTTATCGTTGGCTTCATTCACCGTGAGATTACGTTTCGCTGCTCGCGGTTGCAACGGACATTTCGAAATGTTGCGGGTATTTATGCAAGTTCAGGGTTTTCGAGGAAACGGAACGCGCAAGCGGAATGTGAACAATTTCGTGTTGAAACAGATTGCTAAACAAGTTGAAAATTGCAGAAAAATCGAACCGAGTACCGGTACGATATTTCGAGACGATGAACGATATATATTTTGAATTGCATCGAAGTAAGAATTGTAGAATGCACGAGAGAGACTGAAACGAGACTCTTTAGCAACGTGTGCGCTCGACGAAAAGGGTATCGAAAGAATTTTAAAACTCGATGGTAAATTCCAATCGCGTTACTTCCTTACGCGCGTTCGAGCGTTCAAGGAATGAGAAGTGTCAGTGAAGTAAGAATTGTTTGATCAATCAGGAGCAACTTTCAGTCAAATATTTCCACAAATGGCAGCCAGTTACGAATCTGTTCCCACAATACTAATAGAGCAAAGTTCGAACATCGCTCGGCTGTCAATTAATTCGCGGATCCCTGTTCAATTCGTCGATATGATTGTATTGGATAAATTATTTCAGGAATGAAAAACGAACGATTTCAGCAGCGACGGAATAAATGAATCGTCTAACATGTGAAAAAAAAAAGGAAAAAAAAAAACAATTACAAGCCACGATGAATGCTACATTGAAATTTCTCGAAATAGAAATTCCCAATGAAGGTATTACCAAATCAATGATTCTCGCGCGTGTTAATTTTTCTCAACTCTCCTCTCCCCTTCAACTTGACCGAGAGCTGTGAAAATGGCGCGCGAGAAAACGAACTTGGAACGGACGGTGTTCCAAGTCGTTAATTAATCGCCGTTTGTTTTTGCCAGTCGCGGATCACGACCCTCGAGCAAATAGTAGTACGTATCGGCTCGAGTACGTGCGCTAGGTGCGCGTGTACGGCAATGAAATCAAGGCCCTCTGAATAACTGCAACTTATTCCACGGAGTTGCAGCAGCGAGTGGCTGCAGTCCTGTAAACAAGTTTCATATTCATACTAGGCATCACGTGGTCCCATCCGCGCGCTCGACCGTATCTACACGCGTATACGTCGTTTGATTTCCCACACCAGGTTGCCAGGAAATCAAGGGACACGATCGCCTCGAACCGCGCGTTTCATTCGGTAGTTTTCACCCGGTAAAAATCGAGAGAACACAGCTATTCGACGAGTCAAGATTGTTGGAATACAACGACTCGACTATTCAGCAGTGTAAGCCCATTGAAAATGGCTTTGTGAGGGGCATCTGTTTTCTGTCTTCTTCCCACTATTTTCTTCAGTTACGGACAGGACCATGCCGAGCAGAAAGTTCAGTTCTTTGCCAGTCCTTGCCGCGTGACTACTTCATTGTATCGCACACTATTTCATTAAATAAATAACCATTCGTTTCTTTTCCACACAGAAGTTTGTTTTATATTTTCACTACATTTCCTACAAAGATTCGCGAGAGTCGATCCTTCCCCGGAAAGAAGCGCTGTGCTGTATCGAACTCTCCTATTTTTCGTTCAGCTTCGACTCGACTTCTTCCTCAGTTTCCTCGCTCCTTCGACCGATGAGAATCGAACCTTCCGTTCGGTTGTAAATTATTAAGGAAGGATGCGTCACTGTACGCGCGATACGCGCAGAGAGATGCGTAGTAGAGGTATTTCTGATTGTTTGCGAAAAGTATCCTTGAATCCGGCCAACTCACCGAGTCGCTAATTTCAACCGCGTAAATATAATTAGATACACCGCTGCCACACTTCGATCCAATTTCGGAAACTCGGTCTGCTTTTTTCTCCTGCCGAGTGACTGTGGACATCACCGACGGGGAACGATTTAAACAAGCTTTCGAGAGTGGTGGAAATTTATTAAAAGACTCGTGAGAACCGTTCCTCCGTTAATTTCCTTTAGTATTCATTGGTAAACGTGACTACACATAACCAAAATATTATTGTACACTCCCGTGCCTTATTGTATAATAGTTAAGGCAAAAATTAACGATTGTTTACTGTTAATGTAGCAATAACTGTAATGTAACAAATTTCTATCTTAAGATTGCGTATGCTCCAGGGCTGGAGCTTTTAATCTAAGAACACTTCACACCGATAAGCTTTTACTCGTTATGCTTTTGTAAATACGTAATACTGTATATACTGGCACAAAATGAACGTCTATTAATAAAAAAAAAAAAAAAATTGGTAACGTGACTCGGTTATTTGTCAAACTCGGTAGTTTCAGAGAAAATTCTAAAAGACAAACGAAAGTGAAGAAAGTAGCGATTAAAATAGACGAGCGAAAAATCTATCACTGAGTTTAGTATTCGTTGTTTATTGTTTATAGCTCGTGTAGCTTAACGTGTTTCAGTGTTAAGGAAATTTACGACTAGCAGTTAAAGTTACAGTGAAAATAACCTGAGGTAGCCTAAATATCAACTGGAAGCCATCCTTAGGCCGCAAGGCAAGAGAATTATGTATAATAAAAACAAAATGAAAACAAAACAAATTCCACATCGAAGGACAACGAAGACTCGAAGAGAATACAAGATTGTTGCGAGATCTACGACCACGGTCGAGAAATTCCCTCTGAACAGAGCTTCGTCCATTTTCTTTTTTCTTCTCTCCTTTTTTTCGCCGAAGCAACGAAAAACGCGTGCATAGCTAAGTATAGGCAGCCATGTGCGTGCCAGACGGCTGACCGATCGTCGAGGTGTCAAGGCCAAGCACAGACGAGCACAGTTTTCGCAGGTGGACGGAAGAGTCATCGACCTGGTTCGCGCATACGTGCGCGATGGCGTCCGGATCACGGCACATGGCGGCGTGCGTGAAATTCGCGCGGCAGGACGGTTTCGATCGATGTGCCGACGAAACCGGGCGAGGTAAACGTCCGTTGCGGGACGCTAACGTTCTCGATTATGGGCCTGTGCACTCTTGAAACCGCGTGCGAAGCGTGACGCAACTGAACGAGAGAGAAATATTTGGCACGCGACACGGAAACCTCGGCGCGTGGCACAGACACGAACGGATAAATAGCTGAATAAGACACGTAGAACGACGACGAGATACCCCTCCTGCCTATGGCAGTGCACGAGCAGACGTGCATTATTTTCGTCGGTACGCCGGCGAAGGACGCCGATCGTTCTTATTTATTTCTTTGTTTCAACAAATTCCCCCTTTGGCAATTTCAGTCTCTCGTCGTTCTCGTCTAACAAGTGTTGATACTCTCAATTCCGCACGTTGGATACGACGAAACGGCGTGGCAAAACAAGTACACGTACACGAATAATACGGACAATAGCGTCGAGAAATTTAGAAATAGTGGAAGCGATTTTTGCCAGCGTCTGCGAACGTAATTGTGAAAGGAGAGATGGCGAAATATCAAAATGTATCTGTTTAAAGAAACAATTGCAAGAAAAATTAATCTGTTCCGTATCAAACTTCTACAATACTTGCGGATTTTATAAACGTAATGATAGGAATTTCGAGACTAGATTTTGAGTAGTAAATCTCGCGTAAAGATGTTCCGTACAGCACGGTGCTCTTTGTTTTGATCGGCACTTCAGCCAAGAAAAATAAAAGCCAATCAATTCTTGATACTCGTGGAATATATTTCGCATCAGCGTGGAAAGAAGTATTATTAGATATCAATCATGTTGCAAGGTCCCGACCTTGCTTCCAGGAAAATTCCGAGATCTCTACTTTATTCTGAGAGAAAAAACGAATCACAAGATCTCTATTTTGTTTATTCATAAATGTTGAGCAAAGTCAAGATCTCCGCATCTCGTTTCTCGAGGTAGGTAATAAATTTCAATAATTTCTACAACGACGAATTACCAAGATATTTAACTCATTTGTAAAAAAAAATACAACGCACACGTAAAACTCGATACACGACCATTCTAGGAAAACAATAAAACGAATCTTCGATTCATTCGTATACGGAGAAGAAGAAATTGCACAACCCCTGCTCTCTTATTCTCGGCGAGGAATTTCAATACGACATTTCAGATTCCGAGATTTCAAGAGCTTGTTTGTTTCTGCGCTGAATTTAAACTACATTCGTCACGGTTTACGCAAGTCATTCATCCTCATTCGGACGTCAACGGGGGAAAGGATCATTCCGCGAAGCGATCAACCGCGAAACCGCGGCGTCAAGTGAGACAATAATTGCGATAGCGGATACGCAATTTAATAACGATCATCGTTTCGCGCCCAGCCGCTGGCCACACTAATGAACAACTCTAACCAACCAACCAACCGACCGACTGCCGCCGCCAACTATAGTAACGACACACAGCGTGGCTATAAAAAGTACATGCGCTTCTTCGGCGTCGTAATCAGCCAAAGAAAACGTGCACGCCGTCCCTGACACGCGAGTCTCTCTAGAGTACGCTTTTCGACGCGTCTCACCGCCACAATCGGAGCCGTTTTACGTACGTACGTACATCAGAGTACGTATATACCGGACACGCGCGCGCGCAAAATGTATCCATGTTCACGTGTGTATATATAGAAATCGGATCTATGACCTGTAACGCAGAGAGTTGCACCATCGAGCACGCAGCTTGCGCGCTTTCGTCGTCTACACGAAACGACGTGCACCAGCAGCTGATCTGACGTCGCGACGTCATCGTCAATTGGTCGCGATGCACGCCGTCTCCAAGTTCGAGAGTTGAAAAGAAAAACTCACTCAACCTCGCAAAGTCGCCGATCTTTCCACGCATGACGCAAACTGTCCGCCGTACTTCACAAGATTCGCGACTTGGTCGTCACTTGGGCCACAATCTAATCGGCGAAACGATTATTTCGATATAGTTTGCGTATTTGTGGACATCGTTATGTTGTGAAACGAGGTCTTTCAAAGTCTAGAAAAATAGGCTATTTTTGATCGTATTTCGAGGCGAGCGCGTTCGATCTTTCTTACTGTGTTCTAGCTTCTGCGAGAGCGTAACAAAACTTTTTATTCATTTTTCTTCCTTTCCCGCGGATATCAAGTACAAAGCATACAGATCGAAGAACGATCCTGACTGTCGTAATTGATTTTTTTTCGCAAAATACACTTAGATGCGTGCATTGAATACACAGGGTTATTGGTTCTTTAATTGGAAGAAGAGTCATATACGCAACTGATTTCCACTTAAACCTAATTCTGAATCTGTTACTAACAACTACGTGGCTACAGGCGTGCCAATGATTCACGATTGAGCGTTGCATTCAGAATACAAAATTGCAAATTGAAATTGAAATATTTGGCGCTTCTGATCGATCGTTCGCGGAAACATTTGCTTTCTGAGAATCAATTTTGTTGGAAAAATCAGAAACATTTGCAAAAACATAGCAGAAACGTGTCTTTCAATTTTGAACCGATTCGTCTCGAATCTCGCGGAGCTGAAGGAGCCGGATAGTCAAAATGAGATAGTATCGTTCGTAAACAGCAAAGTGTCGGCCTGATCATGTCCGTTGCTATTAATTTCATCAGCCATCAAATGATTCGCATTTCTATCAAGAGCAATTCGCTCGTGTCACAATTCTCTATTTCCACGGACTCCTTTATCGCCGCCTGTCACATTGTTTACGCATGTAAAAGAGACTTTTGACTTTGATATTTCGATCGCAGACACTGCCTCCACGGAAATTATTCAGGAAATGTGACTTGCATTTTCTTGTCACTCTATTTGCCAATCCAGATAAACGCCAGCGCATGCCAACGATATTCTATTTATCTATGGTGCGCGCGAATTAACAGTCCATAATAAACCACTTCATAAATTTTCCGACTGTTCCGTTTCGTTGCTCAACCGTTCCAAGGAATCAACGGCGCTCCGTTTCGTCGCTATTTCGAATATTTCGACGAGCTTGAAAATGGTTTTCGGAAACCAGAGAAAGCGTGGAATAAATTCACCGGTCGCGCGTTCCACAACTTTTCCGCGATTCTTCTCTGCGTTTCCTTTTTTTTTTTTTTCTTTTTTCTAAGATTTCCTTTTTCTTTCATTTCATCGCCAGGGAACACGCGATTAGTATTAGTTCCAACTAAAATGGAATTTCTACGGTAATCATCTCTTACGTATATGATTCTGTGAGTTCAGGGAAATCCGCTCGTTTAGAATTTAGCAGTAAAAGGCGCATCGCCTCGGCGCCACTAAGCAATCACGACAGGTTTGATTCACATTTCCTGCCGCGGAATTCCGTCTTCCTTGCTTTGTTGCTCTTCCTGGCAAAGAGAGGCATCAACGTGGAAAAAATAGCATCGTCATAGTTGGCGTTATCGTCATCGACCAGTGAGTTACTGAACGCCACTCTGAAAGTAACCTCATTCGAGAAAGTCGTCATTTATGGTCGCAGGAATAGCAATGAACCTACTCTACGTCGATCTATCGATGTGGAATACCACATGATTACGCGGGGGAGGGGAAAATCACGTGAAATTCGAACATTGCATTATTGAATCGCGTTACGAACGAGATAACTGACGACAAGTTCGAGGAATCTATGCATAAACAAGAAGCACTTTGGAAAACCCAATTACGATGTAACGGCCGTTCCGTTCTGATGGAACACGACGATAAATAAAGCGGTCAGTTCTCGAGATGAAATTTTCGCACGAAAAGGAGAGGAAGATACTCTCTCGGTTTGTCTTCTTCAGACGGCAGGAATGGCGCGAGTTCGACTCCATCTTTGCGATGCAACGATGCCACAAAGACTGTGACCTCTTGCACTTGAAGAGCTGTACATACGTATGCGGAGAGCTGTTCAAGGATTCAACAGCCAAGCCTCGTGTTCCAATCAATTCTTTGCATCGGTATTACGCGTTAATACTTATTTGATATGTTTTTCTCTCTAAACACAAAGCGACGTCGAAGGCCACGGTATCGCCAACGGTGGCTTAACTGTTACACGCTCCGTGTAGATGATCCAGTTGCTTGTTCGTTATTTAAGTCGTAAACATCGTAAACATCAGCAAATTGTAAATGCAAAATTGGTTTTCGTGAAAGGAGGCAAAAAGAAGAAAAGAAAATGAGAATTTTCCTTTCCTCGATGGAGTTATAAAATATCTAGTTCCCGCGGAAACGAACTGGATGCAGGAAAATTTATGATTTTCATGGTTAGAGGTCGGTATTAGCACTATGCTTTTGAAAAATGAGTCATAAGTGATCCAAGAATATCACTGATATCGTAATCAGTAAAAGTCTCTCGTGTCGCAATAAACTCTCGATGACTTGAAAACACATTGCCATTGCGTTCAGCGAGACCGGTAGAACACATTAGGATTATTTTCACAACAAAACACTCGAGGATGATCCACCGTTGAAGGCGTTGAAGGCTTTGAAGGCTTTTCGAAAGGCTTTTCGTCCAATTACGTAACAATAAAATCGATCTTCTATCAAAATAATCAATCGGGAACATAATAAAAAGCAACGGGCAGCGCGACGCACGCTTGTGATATGACTTTCATAATCGCAAGTTGTTTGTAAACATTACGGAGTTCATTACATAACTATCAAGTTAAATATCGCTAGAACAAAGCTTACCTAACCAGCCTCTGCGAAATTGGGTTAACTGGTCGATCAAACGAGCGCACCTCCCTCCCATACTCGCCGGCTGAGAACGGACGAAATCAGTTTCTAGGAAAACAATTTTTAACAACGACGCAGTCGTTAAGGCGAGGAAGATTAAATCTCGACACGTTTCGAGAAATTGAAAATAGAATTCTGGATTGGTCTTTTTTCTTTTTTTCACTAAAACGACGAGCATTGAAACGAACGCAACTTCGACTAACCAAGCTGGCTCGGTTTTGCAAGAAATCCTCCAATGGAAGTCGAGGCGAGACGACGCCGTGCGGCCAGCTACTACGAGCAAACAAGTTTTTTTTGCAAATCATTCACTCTACTATTACAAAAGTTTACTCGTATCTAGCGGAGCACCGTGACAATGACTATCGCAAGCAAGGCCGGCCGATTCTAGCCGGGAGAGACTAGCCAAGAAACGCCGCGAGAAAGAGAGGGGACGCAAGTTGTAGCAAGGTCGCGGAATTGATAGAGAAGGCGAGAGAAAAAGTCACCGATTCTCGGACAAGGAGAGTATCGAATTTTATTCACGGACGCGGCCGAGTCCGCATTCCCTGCTAGAGGAAATTCTGAATCAACGGCAACGAGTCCGGCTCTTTATTTTTACGGTTAGCCGTGTGGCCACAGCGAACGCCTTGTGGAAGTGTAACCATGAAACAATCGTCCAAAGTAAAGTCTACACCGGTAATTTTTCTCCTTCCTTCTCTCTCTCTCTCTCTCTCTCTCTCTCTCTCTCTCTCTCTCTCTCTCTTTGGTTAATAGTTACTTAGTATGTGTTCCAAAGTTCTCACGTTCCTCTTCCTCGTTCTTTTTCCACGCACAGTCTCGTGGGAAACAGAAACTTCATTGTCTTCCTTTTCTTTGTTTTCATAAACATACAAGGAATTTAGATGAGAATTGAACACGAGATTTTCGTGTTGGGCTATTCCAATTTCCGGTTCAACGTACTGATTTTTAAAAACGATACTCGAAACTATCTTCCGATGAATAATCGAAAATTGAAACTTGGTTTCGATCGAATTGCTCGTGGTGTCGAGTGACTCTTGATTTACAAAGAGGAGAAACCATTAAAAGATTTAAACGATTAATAGTACGCGAGGTTTACACTGGCAGAGAAGCTTTAAACTGTTGAAATCTAGGTAAATCTAGGTCGCCTGTCTAGACAAAGTGTTACGTTTGATTTTACGTGGACACAGAGATGAACGAAAAAAAAAGAAAAGGACAGAATGGAACTGCGATGGTTTTCTGTGAACGCGTCCTACGACGTCACGGCTATCGGACGAAAATATTTGCCTTCCAGATATACAGACGACGCACAGGCTAACTTGCAAAACATCTTTGTCTGAATCGTGGAACAAATACGCGGTTGTGTATTGGTAATCGGCGTTGTTGACGCGAAATCTTATCGATCATCTGCAAAACCAGCGAAATTCACGCGTCGATAACGCATTGTTTTGAAAAGAAAAGTCGTTCAATGACTAAAGATCGTCTGTTTAACGGACTAATCTTTCCAGCCCATAAATTACTCGTTAATTCTTTCCAGTTCGTTTGGGCGAGTCCAAAGAGTCGTTCTACAAGCAGAGAATCGTTTCTTTTTTTATTCGGAATCTAAACCTAACCTAAACTTACTCGGCCGTTCATTCCGTGGTCGATACGGCGTCGATTCTATGGACTAGCGCGAGACGAAACATCACGAACGTCGTTGCACGTTGAGTGAATCAAATGATAAACGTGTGCGGTACTTACTTCATCACGTAGGAACGAAGCTCGCAATTCTCCTGCTCGTCCTCGCTTATTCTCGCTCGAGGAAACCCATCAAACAGTTAAGAACACATGGTATCGCATAAACGCGCGCGCGAAATACCACTATATATACATATATACATATATATATCGTGTGTACGCTTATGGCTTTATCCGTGGCATGCAAGCGGGGAACATCGCACAATACCCGCGTCTACGTACAACGTATCAATGAAACGTTACATTTTCCCCACTATCGATGTCCTACAGAATTCCGACAGCCGTGTTTCCAACTTTTCTGCGTACGTTTTTATCTAATCGCTCCGGCACTCCGTCGTGCCGGTCACTACTTTTTCTGGGTCAACACTTATTACATAAAACTTTCCTCACTCTCTGTCGTCGTCGTCGTCGTCGTCGCCGTTGTCGTTGTCGACTAACGTCTTCTCACAACATTCGAACAGTCGAAAAAATTGCAACAGCGTCGAAGCGAGACTGATCGATGAAAAACGACCCCTAAAACTCGTGTGGTCTCGTCTTGTTCAGTACGGATCGTCGACACGCGCGACAATGACAATTTTGGTCAAACCGTATCGATCTCATCGCTCGTCCGATTAACTAATAAATAAAAAAAAAAAAGATAAAGAATAGCAACAATATTGGCGCATCAGCAGGGAGCAACAACAACCTACCAACAAACTCACCGCGCGGCTGTTGGCGCAACACTGAACAACTGCGTATCGGTCATAATTAACGGCGCCTCGGAGCGCGCGATGACTCGCGCAGTCGCGTGATCGCCTACACGACAAATCGGCCGCCTGTTTACCGCCAGAATTAGACAAAAGAACGGAGCTTCGTCGTTTAAAAGGCCGATTGGCTTAACAGGGGTTCAATTCCATAACGGGTCGGGCAACCCTTGCCCGATATCTCCTCATTTTCGTGACCTCTGATATCTCTGTGACGATGAACGACGATGACGACACGTGGTTTTCCGCGAGCGTGGTTGACAGTGGCAATTTAAATTCTGTAGACATCTGTTTGATGAAACGCGAGATTTCAATTTCTGCGCGACCTGAACCCTTTGCATCAAATGGATTTACACTGAGATTTTTCACTGGTGAGAAATTGGCAAACTTTAGACAGTTATCGATGGGCGAAAGTGTTCTCTTTGTCTCGTGCAACGTATTTTCGTTCTCTCGTACGGATCGAAAACAACGGATGACGAATAACAAGAGTCTCATTGTGACATATAGAGAGGAATGGTAAATTTGAAGAGTCACAGCAGATTGTTTGCGCAGCTCATGTTGTTCAATTTGAGCGAGAAGCGGAGATAATGTTGCCTCGATCGAAAATACGTGGAATGAATTTGTTTCTTCTCTCTTTTTTTTTTTTTCTTTTTTGTGGCAGTGTCAAAGCCCCCTCTTTTTACTAGAAATCCCATACGCATCACGTAATGCAAAAATATATATTGAAGAACTTCAATTATCAATAGATTCAATGCTGTTTTACATAACAAACAACGAAATATGTAGATACTTGATACCCGCTTAACTACATATTTGAACACCTAGCGTGGAATAACAAATCGTCAAATGTCAAACTTTCATAACAAATCGTTCGAACGTTTCACGATATTAATGTCACCGATACGTGATAGCATTTAACTGAAAGTATCTCCTACCACCTCCGCGTATTATCTCTGGTCGCGACATTAACCTTGAGGAGAATGGATTGACTCGACTCCACCCCGCAATGTGTCGAATGAAACTGACATTTCTCCTTCGGGTACGCCGGCACGTGCGCCTTGTTCTCCTAACAACGATTAAAATTGAAATCGCCGGTTCATTTCCATGGAATCTCGAGATTCAACGAATGAAAACAAGATATTTCATCACGTGCGTACGTATGCAGAATAGAAAACAACCAGACGAGTGTACAGCTTGCTCGTAATTCACTCTGTTCGATGACAGCGTAAGAGAAAATGAGAGAAGGAACGATCCGCAATTTCCATGGATCGCGTGATCCTTTATCGTAAATCTGTTGCGATTGTTAATCCTGTTGCTCCATCGCTAGAACGATAACGAGACGAGTTTAGAGTTGAAAAATTACGTCGTAACGAAGGACGAACGAGATCTACATTTGAGATCCTGTTTGTTCAGAAAAACAGAGTCAATGTCGCCGTTAGATCCATTAGGTCCATTGTCAGGGGTGCGTCGTCAAAGATAAATACAAATTGATCGCGTGTTGTATCGTTAAGCTGCTCTGAAGTTGCTAAAACGCTTTGCGATGATTATACGCTTTGCAATTTCATTCTCCGTGGCTCGTCGAGATCGAGATCTGGAACGAAAGAGCAACGCTTCTGTCACAATTACCCCGAATCCATCTTAAAGTCGAAACGATATTTTTTACTAGATTAAAACTTTCTTTCCATAAAAATAAACTAGGCATCGAAATTTCGATGTAACGAAAGAAACTGGCACTAAGTAAGTGCCCGATTGAAAGCAAAATCTACTATATTATCGCGAATCAAAAGAAAAGTGTTGCACGATTACCCTGCAATGTTCCATTACGATTACCAGTTTCGTTTAAATTTCGTCGCTTTATTGATCACACTTGTGCACACGCATTATCATTTATAAATAACCAAGTGCATGCAGAAACTGTTACAGGTGTCTGCGCATAGAAACAGCGTGTTGCCACTCAGAAGACTGCCAAAGAATCAATAGAGAACACACGCGCCCCACAGAATCTCGTCACATTGGAGATCTCGCTCTCTCGTTGTGGTTAGAAAGCGCATATAAAGTAGTTTAAGAAAAATTGAAGCAGAATGACGACGTACATCGTAATACCACTGATGATCTACAAGAATAGAATCGGTTTGTTTTCAGGGTTAAAAAATTTCCTTTCGAGCGGAAAACGATTGATGAATTGATATTCGCGAACAGAAATTTCACGGTAATTTAACGTCTTACCTGTGCCAAAAATGATGCGTTCATGTCGAAAGTTCTTGCTTCAAATACGTTTCTCCTGTGCATTATTTGCAAAGAAAACAGCTCGACCTGCAATTTCGCGATTAATAAATACAACAATTAGAAAAGATAGCTGTCTGACCAACCGGTCTGTAATAGACTGGAATTCAAAATTTCTAGTCTAGTAATAATTAATCAGCAATATTATTATCGTTCAAGCGTTACCTCGCGTTGCACCAATGGATCGCTCGTATTACTGAAAACATCGTATAGAGTTGTCTTTATCTTCTTCGCTCGATTCGTCGTTGCTTCACATGCCCAAATCATCATCGCAAACTTAGAAAAATAAAAAGCGACCAACAACAGGTACTCCATAATCCAGTATGGTTTGTCAGATTCCTTGTATATAGAAACTATATAAAAATACAGATTGAATGTGACCGAGATGAACGTACTGATTGTCACAATTATAATGTGTATCATGAACGTATTGTTCACTAATTCAATTATATCGCTGATCTCCAAATGTTTCTTCTCGAAGTTCTTCAGTTTCATTACCAATAAGTTTGGAGATCCATGATGGATAAAAGTCTGCGTCCATACATCGTCATTGATTGCAAGCTTTCTCATTTGTTGAATACATTCGTCGATTTTGGTCAAACAAGCTCTTAGAACGCACACGCAGTTCATGTATAGCATGTCTATCGAAAAGTTAACCATGATTATGTATAAGCAGTAAAAATTCCGCAGAGTCAGCCAAATGTTTTGCTGGAAACAATTTGGTATATGACTGACGAGAAACAGGAAACCTAAAATGTCCTTGGGGTGAATCAGTTTAGCTAAGTCTTTAAAATCGTTTGCAGATAATATCGAGCTAATCTTCGACAAGCTTTGGATCACCGACAATCGGGCAACAGTTAACATATACATCACTAAAATCACTGTCCCATCCAAAAAATAGAACAAGTTCATACAAATCATCCTTGGAATGCTGTAGTCCAACTTCCTGGTAACATTTATTTCGTACACCACGGCGAACAACGAGAGCACGTAGATGAACATCATAGACGTGAAAAGAGCGAAACGACTTTTGCAAAGTGAATATACTGGCGGTTCGTACTTGTAAGGAAAATTTCCAAGTAGCCAGCAGACGAAGAAGCAGGGATGCATCAATGAATTAAAGTCCGTTGCTTTCAAAAATATCCATGTTCTATGTTTCTTCAATTTCTTGACTTTCGCCGTATTTTTAAACATCGTAGAAATTCGTTAGCGAAAGAACTTGTTAGCTGTGAATGTAGGTGAACTACTATTTTTCATAAACGATTGTGTCTAAGACGAAAGCACTTTGGATAATCGTATTCGATCGTCAAAACGCAAAAAAAGAAAAAAAGGTGCAATTCAATAATGAAACATGGGTTTAAATAAATAATACTAAACTGCTACTTTGTCACGCGATGAAGATGCTTTTAACATGATTAAATACGGCACTTTATTACGAGAAAAAAATGAATCAATTTTTCCAATTCTTTCAAACCAATGGTCTCTTAAATATATATTTCATCCCTTAGCGCAGGAATCTCATTTAACCGAAGCTTTATTTCAACAAGGTTCAATGAATAAGAATTGTATTAATATTAACAGAAAGGTGGCAATACCGCATGACATCTGTAAAAAATATTTGTTAATGATAGTTGACCTTTCTAATTGAACTCTATGTTAATTTACCTTTGTTAAAAAGGTCGCATCAATTACCAGTCCTTTCATCGCGAACGTGGCGCCTTTTTGCAATACTTGCAATGAAAACAACTCCAGCTAGAATCAAATACATTAATACAAATTGAAATTCTCATAATTCAGAATCTATATGACATAAATCATCGATGATAAATTAATCGTTTCATCTTACCTCCGTTGTCACCTGTTCGTCAAAAGTATGTACAAGAACTTGATGAATGTTGGAGCCAATTTTCCTTATTTGACTCTTGGTAATTTCAATGATTGAAATTATGACGACTATGTGCGCAGTATAAAAAATTGCGTAGCAAAGTACAGAAATGAACGATTCAGAAAACAACGTTTCGAACGTTCCAGAATACAATGCTACAAACTTATAAATGTTGAATGTAACATCGACAAAGTACAATGATAGTACCGATTCGATTTGCGTGCTACACGAGTCGTTTAGTAGCTGAACGACTTCACTCATCTCTAAATGTTGTTTCTTAAGGGTCCTAAGCTTCGTCAACAGCATTGGATTCTTCTGCATGTGATAGACTCTCCTAAGTAGATGAGGCTCGTCGTTGATCAAAATTTCCTTCACTTTCACCAGAGAATCATTTATATACTTGAAACAGATATTTAGCACGTACACATTGTTCATATACAAGATAATTAGCATAAACGGACCGACGAAATTGCACCAACACATGAAACGAAGAATATGATCTTTTTCGACAATGCGCGGAAAGAATATTAGCAATGGTGTCAAAAGCAATGTATCTTTGATGAAAATGTTTCTAGCTATTTCGCGAAAAATTTCTGGAGATACTACACAAGAAACGTTCGAGATACGATTAATCGCCTGAATCACTAATCGACTTTTAACATAAGCCGAGATGAATATCATGGAGCCAAAAGACATTAATAGATTTGAATGCAATGTGAATGACATATCCGCCTTATCTGCATTAATAACAAAATTAATCGTGTACAGGCAATAAAATATGCAGAGCAAATAAATGATTGTGGAGATTGTGGAGAAAATGAAATATAATTTCGAATATACAAATTTCGATGATTCAATTCTGAATGGTAAGAATCCCACGAAACGATTGAGGAAAGCACTGATATATATTACCGACGCGTAACTTCTGAAACATGGCAACGACAACCAGAATTTACGTTTTCTGGCAGATCCTTTCTCGAGTTTCTCGAGTTTCGATGATTGATTAAACATTTCGAAAACTTGAGGCAGAACGATATAATTTTAAGTAGTTTCTCTACGTTGTTGTTCAGGTTCTTCGCAAAAAAAAAAGGTAAAACTTTATTCGTACGAAAGTTACGTTTGCCTTCGAGATCGTGTTTTATACTGTCCAGAATGAGAGATATTCTCCCACTATAACAAGTATAAATATTATCGTTTGTTGAATAATAGTGGAATATAATCATTTCTACGCGAATCTAATTCGACCATCTAAACCGAAAGTAAAGTACAACGTATTAACGAAAGGAGTCGAAAGAGTATTATCTTGATTAAAATTGATCGATGAAAGCAATTCATGACGCGCTACTTTATCGATTTTACTTCTTACTTCTTATTCCAACGTAAATTGTTATTGAAAGTACCTTGCTTAAAATAACAACGTTTCCAAGAAAAAGTTAAAACATTCAGAATAATTATTTTAGTAATTGATTATATACACTAATCCGCGAAAGTATTTGGACACTCGACGAAAACTTGTCAATATTTTAAACTCTTATAACTTCATGAATATTAGAGTTACGCGATGAAAATTCGAATATTAGAATTTTTTAAATTTCTGTCGTTTAATCCTAACATTCAACGTTCAATAAATTGGCGAAAGCAAAATTGTACAGCAAAATTTAAAAGATCATTTTAAAGGAAATTTTAATCTTCAAGATTAATCATTAACAAAATTTTTCAGTCTTTTCTTCAGACATTAGAATTTTTACAATTTTTTTGACAAAAAGTACTCCGATTGTTCCATAATGTCAGAATATCATGTTTTAAAACAACTCCAAGTGGATTATTATACATTTTTTTTTCACGAAATTATAGTAGTTTAAAATATCGACAATTTGAGTCTTTAAATATTTTTGCAGACCAGTCTATATTATAATTTTCATATTCATTTACTTAAATTACGATACTTAACTTAATTACGAAACTTAAATTACGATAAACGAGTACTGACGATAAAATGAGTTTCAATGATATATTTATTATTTATAAAAAATACTACGACAGTAAGGAAATTCGTGCTGAAGTTAAGTACACGCTATCGTTAGTTTTTCAATTAAGAACGTATCTTTTGACGTATTTAACGTATCATTCTTCTATGTATCAGTTATTTTATCAACTTCCCGTGCTTACTGTTGTTGCCAGATATAACATTTTGTTTTTACTTCTATAGGAACTGTTTTATTCGAGAAAGAAACATACAGTGGAGAACAGGAAAAAAGAACAGTTCGCGTTATCATTTTGATTTTGCTATTTTCTATTATATACAATATATTATTATTACACCTTATTATATGCAATATTATTACGATTACAAATAGTCTAATTGCTTATTATGATTTTACAAATTTTATTTTTTAACAAATCTGATTATAATCCTTAATTTTTAATTTCTATAAATCTATATAAAATGTATGATGTATGTTTTTACATACATATACATATTTCTATATAATTTATATAATGATTACGATAATCAAGTACTACTTAGATGGCTACAAGTTGAATCTATAAACGCTATATACTACATGTACTTTTCGAAACAGATTGCATTTGTTTTGAATAGGTTATGTTTACGTACCATCGAAGTCCTCTTGCAATCTAGAGTGCAAGTAAATAATTAGTAAAATTCTATGATTTTATTCTGTTTAAATGTAATAATTGCTATGTTTTATGTCAATATATTAAGAACGTTCTATAGTGATTACTTAAATATTAATTTAAATGAATTGATTTCATTTATTTAAAGGATTGTGCAAAGAAACATCATGAGTAATAATTATATTAATAAGGGAATAATCACTTATATTTATTTAGAAAATTTTGTGTAAGTATTGATTAATGTCTTTTTTTTGTAATTGTAAAAAAGTTAATTGTGCAAAAATGTAAATAATTTTTATATTATTACAGAACTTATGATAAAGTTTGCATAAATCCTGGTAGGAATTTAAATGTTATTATTGGCCCTAATGGCACTGGTAAATCAACAATTGTTTGTGCAATTGTGCTTGGATTAGGAGGGAAACCTACTACCATTGGTCGAGCTACTCATATTGCAGATTATATAAAAATAGGACAGGAAGAGGCAAAGATTGAAATTCACCTTAAAAATGGAGACAAAAGTGATATTGTTATTCGAAGAATATTTAACAGAATTGGGAAATCTTCATGGTTTCTTAATAATAGACAAACAGGTATTAAAGAAATACAAGAACTAACCACAAGTATGAACATACAGGTATGCATATAGAAAAACTACTAATTTAAATGAGAATTTCTTTTAATTCATTTGAAACTTCAGGTGGATAATCTTTGTCAATTTTTGCCACAAGATAAAGTACAAGATTTTTCAAAAATGAATGCGCAACAATTATTAGAAAATACAGAAAAGTCAGTTTGTGACCCCATCATATTAGAACATCACAAAAATTTGATACAATATAGAGAAGACTATGTAGATTTAGAGAAACAGATTGAAAGCAAGAAAAAATTACTAGAATCCAAATCTCAGATATACAATGGTTTAAAGGAAAGTGTTAGTAGTATAAAGGAAAAGAAATTAATAAAGAAGAAAATTATTTCCTTAAAACAAAAGAAAGCATGGATACTATATGAACAAAGACGTAAAGAACTAGTTAAGGTAAAAATAAAAGGTTGTAAAAGAGCATAATTGCATGTTTGTTAGATTGTTATTTAAATGCATATTGTAGTAATTAGATCATTACTTTATGTATATATACTTTATATATACACTCATTTTATAATTATCAACATTTGTAGTTAAAAGAAGAAAAAGAAGCTGCACAAGTTAAAGTGACATCTTTAGAAGCAGAAATAAAACCTATTAATGATGCAATAGAAAAAATGAAATCAAAAATTCAATTGCTTCAAAGTTCTGTTTCAGATAATGTAAGGTTATATATTTAACAAAACAAAACAGTTACATATATTTTATACTTTTTTACATTTCAGAACAATAAAGTCAAACTCAAGGCTGTGAAACTTAAAAAAATGATAGACAATATTCTAGACTGTGACAGTAATATTAGAGATCGTGAAAATACATGCAAGCAGAGAATTCAGATGGAAGAAGCTCGAGATCACGACATCGATGTTGCAGAACAACAAAAAAGCAAACTCGATACAGATTTATTACTGATGTTAAAAGATATTGGATCTGGTTTGTTCCTTTTTGATTATGCTTATATTATTTTAAGACAATAATAACTTTCAGAACGCGTTACATTTTACAGAGGAAATTTTAATACAACAACGCCAAGAAATAATGTCCAATATAGAAAAGAAAAGAAACATTATTAATATGTTGACAAGTCAATCTTCAGGATTGAAACAAGAAGAAGATCGATTAAACCTTGAAATTAAAAGTAAATTTCTTGCAGTATTTCTGCAGATGTTTTTTTATTTGTATTACTATTAAATATAATAAAATTTTTAAATTTTTAAAATTTCCAGGTCAAGAAACGGAGCTACAACTTCTTAATATTGAAACAAAACGATTACAATTGTTAAAGGAGAGAAGCATAGACACATATAAAGCAGTGCATTGGTTAAGAGAAAATCGTAACAAATTTTCTAATACAGTACACGAACCTATATTACTTAACATAAACGTAAAAAATGTTCCATATGCGAAATATTTAGAAAATATCATTCCATTTCGAGACTTGATAGCATTCGTCTGTGAAGATAAACGAGATATGAATATGCTATTGCACCACTTAAGGGACGAACAGCATTTACAAGTAAATGTTGTACATTCTGATCCTACGAGACATGTTTCCATGGATCCAATTGTTCCTTTGCATCATATTAAACAATTTGGCTTTACTCATTATTTAGTATCGTTGATCGAAGCTCCGAGTACAATTATGAAATATTTAGTGTCTATGTACAATTTAAATAACATACCCATTGGAAAAAGCCAAGTTGATGATCACATTGATCATATACCTAACAATATACGTTGTTATTTTAGTCGTAAGTAAATTGTATATTACTTTGGTAATGAATGCAATTATTTCAGCATTATTATTTCTTAATTTTATTTCTTAGAAAATAACGTATATATGGTAAATAAATCTAAGTACACGGGAGAAAAATCTATCGGAATGCAACCAGTATCGGGTACGGGAATGTTATCTATTGTGTTAGATAGATCAAGGATGTTGAACATTGAAGAAAAGTTTGTTAATACTTTTATTTGATAAAGCTGAAATACATTGAATAAATTATAATTAAAACATTCTTTTAGATTGAAAGCGTTACAAGAAAGGAGAAATACGGTGATCAACAAAGTTAAACAACTTGATGAGCAAGCATATGAACAAAATAAGGAATTAGATGAAATCAGAGCTAGCAGAAACAAACATCAGCAAAATCTCCAACAAATACAAGCCTTAAAATCTAGAATATCTATGGTACAGAAAAAGATTTTAGATTTGCAAAATGAACGAACCAGTATTGACAAAATAAAGGAATCTTCAACTAAGGAAATAAAGGTCTTTAATTAAAGACTAAATAATTATTTTTTTTTATTATAAAAAAACAGTAACATGTATGTATAAATTTTACAGATAATTGTAGAGAAGCAACTAAAAATTTATAAAGAATACAACGCTGAACTGGAAGAATCTTTTAAATGCATTACAGCCAATGAAGAAATCGAATTAGCATTAAAATTACATACTCGATCTTTGAGAGTGAAAGAATACGATTCTCAGGACTTGAGAGAGAAACTTAAGAATGCAGAAGACAAAGTGAAGCAACTTCACCAGAATTTAGTGCCCGTGAAAAACGAAGTACAAAGAATATTGAATCAAGCACTGGAAACTACAAATGGTATTAGTCCCAAAGACAGTGCGTTTGCACCTATAAATAAAATATTTAACAAATTACCACCAACTATAGAAGAAATTAATAATGAATTGAACATTGCTCAAGCCAAAATATTTTGTATGGGAAATAATGTAGACGGTGAAAATGTGAGTTTTGAAAAACCACAGTCAAATATATATTTACCAAATAAGAAATTAATCCATTATCAACTACATTTTCATCAATTTCAGGTATTACAAGAATATGAGCAAGTAGAACAAGATATAAACCATTTAAAAGATTTTATTCAAAGGAAAACACAAGAATTACAAAGCATTATGCAAGATATAGAATCATTACGAGAAGAATGGTTAACACCTTTATTACAAACCATTGAAAAAATTAATTCCAATTTCAGTACGTATTTCTCGGCAATGGATTGTGCCGGCGAAGTTATATTGGCAAAACCGGAAAACCATGTAAGTTATTAAATAAAATTAGATGATATACTCGTTATTTAAGATCTTTTAAAAAGTTTAATGCTTATAGATGGAATTTCATCAATATGGCCTAAAAATTAGAGTAAAATTCAGAGATACCGACCAGTTACAAGAGTTGACAAGATATCATCAAAGTGGTGGAGAAAGAGCTGTAACTACTGCCATTTATATGATTGCGCTTCAAGAATTATCAAGGGTACCTTTTCGCTGTGTGGATGAAATTAATCAGGTATTTTTATTAAATTTTATACAATAATCATTTACAAATTTTATACAATAATCCTAACAGTTGATTTTTATCACAGGGTATGGACACTGTGAATGAAAGAAGAGTATTTAATTTGCTTGTAAAAATGACTGGAAGACCAAATAGTTCTCAATATTTTTTACTCACACCAAAGGTAGCCCATATTAACCATATTAACCAAATTAAAATATAAAATAACTGCTCAATTAACGATATCAAATTTATTTTTATTTAGCTACTGCCTGATTTGCAATATTCAGAGACAGTGACGGTCCATTGTGTGTTCAATGGACCATTCATGATTAATTATACAGATTTTGATACAGAAGAATACTGTAAGTTTGTTGTTAAGGAACTGGAAAAGGAGCGTGAAGATGATGATTAGCTATTAGGATGTCTCATTGTATCTAAATGCTATACAATAGGATATATATATATATCCTATTAGATATGCTATATAGATATAATTACATAAAGTATTATGTTTATATATTTTTCCACGATATTTAAGATTTAAATAATTGTATGAAAATATACATATTTTTGATTGATACCTTGTTACAAAAATTTGATCGTTTTAGGTTATTATTCACTTTTTTCCCTTCTTCTTCTTTTTCTTCTTCTGAGCTTCAGGCCAGGGAAATCCTCTGCACTTCAATACATCCATGATATTATGACAGGTATAATAAGCATTTTCCATGACCTCTTCATTGAAGATATCCATAGTAAATTTTGCTCTTCCTCCGCTCTTTTTTGATCTCTTTGATCCCTTACTTTTATTACCATTGTTATTCTTGCCATTTTTACCATTTTTACTAGTTTTCTTCCCATTCTTGCCATTATTTTTGGCTATTTTCTTTTTACCTTTTCCTCGCATTTTATTCTTTAGTTAAATAACACAAATACAAATAGTTTCACAAGAAAACAATTCAGATTACAAAAACATAATATTCCACGTTACTTATTAGGCGTCTAGACAAAAAAGATATTGTCCAGCTCTTATATCACATTATATGTAAATCGTTACTAGGTACGTGATTATTTCAATAATGGTTGCTATGATATACACTTGTGATTTTAACTCTTCTGTAACTACATGCGTATGTATAGAATCATTCGTTGTTTTATCAAAAACATCTCATATGTGAAAGATACTTATAAATAGTTAAACAAATTGCATGATGAATTTACGTTTTTCCTTATTTTAAATATATTTTGTACATTTAAAGAACGAAACTGCTTAAAATCAACCACCATGCACGACGCGATTTTTAGAACTGCCAATAATCGCATTTTTGAATATCGATACAAAATCGTTTCGACTAATCGTATCGATTAGTTATCGATCCAGCAAGTAGATCGAATGACCTTGACCTTATCCGTAGTCCAAGTATATATGTATTTCCATAGAGTCCTCAAATAATACAACGGGTCAGTAACACGTTATTTCGTAACTATTTTCGCGAATCGTTCGTAACCTCGAAATAGATTCGACCGTGCTCCGATTCGAGAGTAGAGATATAATTGTTTCGCCGTAGAAGAATAATGTACGTTCATTCTTATCAAGATATATTCGTCTTCTGTTATTTATACTGTGTGAAAAGTATCGAAATGCAATCATCGTAATTCTGGTAACGTTTGTTATTTACTGAAATGTTTTAAAGTAGAAATGTTACAGGACAGAATAAATACATACATGTCATTAGTAAAGATAAAATAAAATTGTTTTATTTCTAGTCAGAAGGAAATATCTTACTGCTACATAAACATTTTTTTGCGAATTGGCCTTTAAGACAGACGGACAATTTCTATTCTTTTAATATTTATAGAATTATTATAGAAAATTAGAAAATTATGTGCAACCGACCATACTGTGCAACGGAGAAGAGAAAAAGAGAGAAAAGTAGTGGCATAACAATAGTGGAACTTCAAATAGCAACAAATACGAACTAGCTCCGCTATGGTTCACGATCACGGCATTCGAGATACGGCTGTCTGACCGCTTGTGTAAATTCGACAGAGTCATTTGAAAATTCCATATGTTTCTGATCTATTGGCTGGACTTGACTCGACTCGGTCTCCCTTAATCCAAATCGAAGTTTCGACCGACAGATGGAGGTTCCGCAAACTTAACTATTGATAGGCACGCGCAAATCGACCGTCAAGAAGTGCCGGTAAAACAAACGCGAAATACAGTCGCATACGGTCCTCGCCGCGAAGTACATACTACGTTTTCGAGCATCGTCAAACCAAGCGGGTGTAGGTCCTTCGTAATTCTCTAACGTACGTTATACATCATTGGGTGCGAGAGTAACCAACCATCCTAAACGTTCCTTTTCGTACGATATCTATCTGCCCCGGTATTGGCGTGAACCGTAACAAAGGAAAAATTGAATTTTTGTGGACTAGCAGAGCAAGAAGGAAACATGTCCACGGCGTTATTAGCTGTGTTCGCTGTGATCCTGTGCATCCTGTTCAGGATATTAAACGTAAACAGTGCATCGCAGAAGCCATTGATTGTCTGTCAGGATCAGTCGTTCTTAACGACAATTCTTAAAATCGCGCCCGTCATCACAGAACCGTAAGTTGTCCAATAATATTTTCTTTATTTCATTAATTATCTCGCAGATTTTCCACGCGAAACTGCGAGTTTCTCGTAGTATCCTGTTCATGGGGGGGGAGGGGGGAAGTGAGGTTAGGTTTGGTTCGATATGCCGGATATTTTTCTTACGTGCACACGATAAGATATCTGGATACCTGATGTAACTACACGTGCATGTTTTACAGAATGGTCCGACCATGTCTGACAAATTCCTGATAAGATACCGCAAGAAGAATTCATCGATCATTAGGAAAAGAAATTCGCGAAAGCTACAAAATACGATCGAATGATTGAAGATTTTATTTTGATTGCTCAGCATGGGTGTGATCTAGTTTTCACTAATAGACAATGACCCTCTCAATCTACCTAATTACGTCACCCAATACTCGTTATAGAAAATCTAATGATCAGCCCGTTCTACTACGGTCGTCACCGCTCCTCTGTCAATGTCTACACAATACATTTAAATAGTAAATCAGTACACAGTTCCTCATGTAATTTGCAAAAATCATTTTATTTCGAACGGATATCTGCGAGAAATGCTTACACAAACAAATCTCGTAGTAACATTACGCTGTCAAATACAACTCCTAATACAAGATACATTCTTATTCAAAAAGGATACGAAGGAATAAGCGTGGTAATTGACATCTTCAGATCTGTTTTAATTAACTCAAAATAATATGCATTTTGAAAACAATTCTTAATAAAATACTTAATTAGTCATACACGTTTCTGATACTCAGTTTAAGATTACCTTGATATCCACCTGATAAATTATTTCACCTTATCGACCACTTATGAGTCACCACCTCTGGCCTGCGAATAAATTTGCGTTGAAATTTTGAACGAAATTTTCGGAACAGATAAAGTAGATAAAGATAGAATTGAAAGAATATAATCTAGAATTCAGAGAAATTGAGTGATGCAGACAACATAATCATTAACATTGGTCTTCCATTTTGAGTCCATTGCATAATGTCTTCTGATTTTGGTTGTGACCTCGCTGAATAATGAGTTCAGGCCTTCATCATGTTTATTGGAAGATGATTGTAACTAATGTCACACGTGTCACGTCAAGAATTTATTTTCGAACGCTCATTTTGTTAATACAAATTATCGAAGTAATACAGAAGAAAAGAATGGAACGAAATAGTTATGCCTTTAAAGAAAATAATTGTAATACAATTCATATCGAAATTCTGAACTAACAATAAGTAACGGAGGCAGATCGAACGACGTCATTTGCACGATGTCTAAGCATGAGTTCATTGGAAATATGAAAACAGTTCTTTTTTTCTTGCAAAAGGAATGATTCATCGAAGTGGACACAGAGCAAGTCGAATGTTCGATGAATTATCATTGTATCAAGGTTTATGCGTTCGAATTCTGAAATGAAAATCGAATTGTGAATTCTTGAGCGTTTATTTCATTAAAACGCTCTTCTCGAGCATAATTATTGTGAAGGAAGATTACGAAGCAACGAAGAGGAGATAATTGAAACAGTCGAGTTCAAAGAGCTGAAAAAAAAGGGAGTAATTCATCTGTTCTTTTCTTGTTGTTAATAGAATCGTATTGTTGTGTACATTGGAAGATTTATTTTGTACAATTTTTCCACGAAAAATTTGACTCACTGATTGCAACGTCGCACGAAATACGGCGAAAGCAAAACCTCGTGCCGACGCGACTGATATTCGCCGAAAGGCTGCATTGATTTCATATTTTTGCAAATGCAAATGTCGAATACGAACGCGATGCTTTCGATCAGAAAATCGATATTAACTAATAACCAGCTATTCAACCGGCACACTTCCCCAGAAAGACACTTCCTGCACTGTCGTGTTTCCTAGAAATCTCGTTGCCTTTCGCTTCTATTTCCCTTTTCGCAATGGTACACGTTCATTATAGTGTCATCTTCAATAGCAAAGTTATTAATTCACGTGACAATCGAAAGTCGTTCCAATGAACGAATTACTTTCCAATTGGCAATTACTTCGGTCTTTTTCTTTTCCTGCGAAACCAAGTCGCACATGCTGAATTTTCAACTATAGTCGTTCAACAATTTGTTCGGATTTAATGTGTCGGAAATTGCTAGAAAGTAGATTCCGTGAAACTCGCAATCTTCTCGATTCGAAGGTTCTGTGACAAGTGCAAAAATTCCCCACTCCATTACAAAACTAGCCTCTTTTCATTATAACATTTTCCTAAACATTTGCCAGATATTTCCTAAGTTTATTGGGATTCCGAGTCGGTCATAGACCAGGGAGTGCTAAATAGCGACGAACTGCCGCCTTCGAACAATCTCGAAATCGCCTCATTTCTCACGAACGAACGTCCTTTTTCCCACAACACGCTCAAAAGTTACCTAAATCGTACTTGGATTAAAGAGAAACGTCTGCGAATAGATAAACGTTCCGTTTACGTGACGTTTTTTCCCCCGAAATACGAATACCATCAATTTTTATCGTCTGATTTTGCTGCACGGAATCGTTATCGTAGCACATGAAAAAGTGAAAAAACAAGCTTAAGGTCTGTCTTTGATCGATTATTCACTGGCCATGATTGCGTGCAAGCAAGTGCAAAGAAAATGTGCATAATTTTCTTTACGTATGAGTAACAAACAGAGGAAGAGTCACGAGAAACGTGTAATTCCTTCCAATATTGATTCTTAAGCTTCTAATTAAAAATTTAATTAACCCCCCCCTTACTAATTGGATCCACGTGAATCATTAAAATTCCTTGCCACTGTAAACGACAACTTGTCATGTAAATAAAATCAAAGAAACTGTACAATTAAATTATAATAAATGTATAATTCTGTGCGTATCATTGGAAACTTGAAGTATTTGACGAATGCATATTGATTGGAAAGATTCTAGAAAAAGGATGTCACCTTTTTTTTTCTTCTTTAGACCGATCGGTACGCGACAAGAAATTTCACTTTATTGCGTGACATTCTAAATTTCATTTATGCCTCGGCACGCAATGGAAAATCTCGACAGTTTGAAACTTAGAACAATTTTCCATCGTTCTGTATTTTACCAGAGTGATTATCTTATAAGCATATTGTATACTTTTGAGTTTACTACCTTGTTGTTATTGAATATGGAATAGTAGATAATTTAAAACTACATTTTAACATGTATCGATGCAGCTGTATGTAGTCAGTGCCTTGAATTCCAGCTTGAAAAAAATTATTTAATCAAACTGACATGACGTCGCAAGCAATTTTTTTTATGTATATTGCAATGAAAGAAAGAGAAAGAATCCTGAAACTTTTTAGTAATATAATTTTAAAAGATGTCTTATATTTTTCTCACGTTGAATCACGTAAACTTCAATGTTTAATTGATGACCATACAAATATGATACATATATATCCCATACTAGGAATACGAGCTTGTAACATACTTATGCACTGAAGAATGCTTAGTTCATAGATTAGGAAGGCGAGTGTAATCAGATAGGAATCTCCAACTTGCTAAATTCTTTTTTGCGTACAAATAAGTTTGTACAATTAAGCGTCCAAAAAAGAAAAAAAGAAGTGACATTGCTAAAAATCGTAATAAAATTTACATCTGATCTGTTTTAGCCCATAAATTCACAAATGATGTTTTTGAAACAGTCACTCTTCTCGACATACATAGTTTCATATCACAAAAAAAAACATTTTGGACTAAGCTACGAGGTGCCCCAAAAGAAATATTTCCACGAGAAAAAGCGATTTCTCTCGTCGTGCCATTAACGGGGCAGATTATATTTTCTACGAGTACTGACTGTTTAATGCCAGTAATTTTTACGGCTTCGCATATGCTCCACTGATCCACTAGCAACTTTTTGTATGTACGTTGCAACGAAAGAAGTTGAATGATTCCCCTGCCATTTCAATCGTTCAATTTCGCTTTTACTTCCAGCAAAAATTGCGCAGACTCGCAAGAAGAAAGAAGAAACACACTTTCACGGGGAGTTGTACGGTTGTTCTCTGGCACAATGAATTAAACACGAACTATCCATTTTAAAACTAGATCAACAAGTCGAAAGAAAAAAAGAAATTGAACTACACGGGCCGGAGATGTTACAACGAATGGAAGAAATTTTACACGGCATATGCTTATCCTTAAAATAGTTTATGACTGCTTTCGAATTACCACCGTGACCTGTATCCAATCTTTTTTCACGATGACCGGCGGTTTTCCCGAGTTTGTCTTCTATTTTAATTTTTCTACTAATGTTACAACGTGTCTTCTGTTTTAATTTTTCTACTTATGTTACATTGCCTCATGTTTTCCTACACTCTATAAATTCTTTAAATTTTTCATAAACGCACAAACATCTTCAATCTATTTACGATAGACAGGAAATAGGAGGAAGTAGAAACTGATAAACAGAGTATCAAAGAATGTTATATAATATAATGAGAAAAATCTCTCTCTCTCTCTCTATCCTTTCTAATTTCATCGAAAATATATATGCATGTTGCTATAAAATGTAAATCATGTGCCAACTCAGTTGCTTGTGAACTTCTAGTTTATTCCGAGAGTACCTTTGAGATGTAAATTGTGTTGGAAAATTGAAAATGAATCTTGCGTAATTTGCTTGCTTTCGAACCAGGTGAAACTGCGAGACTCGCCGAAATTTGTGATGTGCCGAAATGAGCAAATTGTGACATTATGTTCGTTTATGCATTTCAGGTACAAACCGACAAGATTATGGGGTTTCAGTGGCCACGTACAGACCATCCTTCACAGTATTATTGGGCGCGTCCGTTGTCCTTGGCCGATTGGAGAACGAGTGTACATCGCACTTCCCGATGAGACCACTCTCACCTACGATCTTTATCAACCATTAACTAACGATTACGAAGGTCTGTTTGTTTCATTGAGCATATCGAGAGATTTGTTTTGAAGTTACTTGTATCTTTGCATTTCTTTCGTTTCAAAACGAAATACGAATGTTTAGGGTCACGTAGGGCAGTGTTCGATTATTTTCTTTAATGCTCGAGTCGCACTTTAATAGTAACGATTGGAAAATCCCAGTGCTATAACCAGCGTGACTTCGGCTTCGGCTTGTTTGATAATTTACGTGTCTTACTCATGCTGCTTATAAAATTCAATAAAGATTAAAGATTGAGCGCGCCACGACTGGAACGAATGATAGTCCGCAAATCAATAACGATTTTCGAGGAGTGTGAATCATTTCGTTCTACCGTCTATTAATTGAACATTAATGAAACCTTGAACACATCGTACGCACTAGTTTCCAGATAAAATAGTTTCCATCATTTTCACGAGTGTTATAACTGATAAATTTGTAATTTCTTGGAATGAAGATAAGAGAGACGAATAAGGCAAATTTGATATGGATATTAGATAGATATGGATATTAGATACAATATATTATGTTGTATGAACAACATTTAAGTAATTTAGAATATACTATATCGAGCTTCTCCTATATTGAACACACACATATATACATTAGTATAACAATATCGACAGGTTAATGATTCATTAAAATATTTGGAGAATTTGTTTAGCTTGCATACGAATGGAGGAAAATATTAATTTACTGCGAGGATACGAGATACATATGTATATTAATCGACATAATACTTTATATTTTATTTCGTTACAGATGATGTAACAATTGCCATCTGCCCTGGGATTTGTAACAGTTCTGAAAGTGTTTATATCAGAACTTTCGTACACTTTGCCCAATGCCATGGATACCGGTGTGCTGTACTTAATCACGTTGGCGTTCTTTCTAGTGTTAAGATCACTGCACCTCGAATTTTCACTTACGGTACGTGTGATTTGATGCTTGATCGATGAGCTCATCGATGGAAATATTGGAGCAGGAAAGAATGATTTATATTGTATTACTGCAATATCGAAATTACTTTTATGTTCTTTACTTTTAGCAAAGCTTTGAATGTTTTTTTATAAAAATCCCAAGGATCTTGTTTAGTCAAGACAATGTTAATTATTAATAATTGATTGATTGACATTTTTCTCGATCTGAACATTACAGGACATACCGACGATTATCACATGATGCTACAAAGTTTGATGGAAAAGCATCCGAATACGAAAATAATTTGCATTGGCTTCAGCTTGGGTGGCAATCTTGTGACTAAGTACTTAGGAGAACGAGGATCGAATAAATTATCGAGTATAATCGGTGGCATATCTATTTGCCAAGGATACAATGCTATCGAGTGAGTATCTGTAATTTTTTCGTCAGTAAGTTTTTTTTTATTAAAAAAATACTCTCTGCAAAAGTGATTTTATCCGTGATTTTATCTCGTTCCTGTTTTCTACATATATTTAATTTATGTACAGAGGTACAAAGTTCCTACTTAACTGGCAAAATTTTCGACGTTTCTACTTGTACATAATGACAGAATCGGTGAAGAATATTATAATTAAACATAAAAATATCTTGTTATCCGAGGAAGTCAAACAAAGGTGTAATTTAAACGAATGGGATATCATATCTGCTGCAACATTACCGGAACTTGATGAAGCATACACTAGAAAGGTAAGATTGCAAAAGATTATTTCCCAACATAGTATAAATTCTATTAAATTTGAATAACTTGTACTTAAGTATATAAGTTGTTATACAGGTGCACAACTTTAGATCCGTGAAGGAATTGTACAAATGGAGTAGCTCTCTCTTCTATTTAGATAATATCAAGACACCTATGGTATTTATTAACGCGTTAGACGATCCTATTGTACCTGAGATGTTACTGGAACCTATCAAGGAACATGCCAGTATGTTTATGCTTATAAGTATATATGCTACAGCTATAAATATATTCTTGTAAGACATTAAAATTTTATCTACAATCTGTTTCAGGAACTCATCCACAGACTTTGTACGTAGAACTGGCTCACGGCGGGCATTTGGGATTTTACGAAGGTGGTCTTCTCTACCCGAACCCTATAACATGGCTAGATCGTACATTGGTCTCTCTCGTAGGATCTCTCACGTTAGCACAAGCGGATAAGTCATTGAAAACCTCTTAACGTAATTTAATTTCGCTGTCATCATTACTTCGTGAGTAACGCATTTTTAGCCGTCAAGCGGACACAACTCATATTTACAATCTTTAGAGATTTTAAATTCGAATTTCATTAGTGTCTCAAGGCATTATAATGGCTACACGTAAAGCGTGATGATATCAAGTGCACACGATTTCAAGATTCTTGGGATCCTGTTCACTATAATTGCCAATTCGATTAAGCGAATTGAGTTTAAACCGTATATTATATTTCTTATAGTTGTCTTAAAAAAATGTTCGTAGTTTCGATAATTTAAAGGAATCAATAAGAAAATTTCTAAAACAGTAGCACAATGTTTCAGTAATTTATATTTCTTCGATAGTCTGATTATTAACGCTTTATACTCAGGGATCTTTGATAAGCCGGTTTGATAAAAAAACGTCATTAGAGACGATTGAATCACATTAGAATGATTAAAAAAGAAAGTTGGTATTAATTGAAAATAGCAATTTCTCGCTTATAGCTCGATTTAAATTTTTGAAAAAAATGGATGAAATGACTTATTTGTAAATTTTGAAAAGTTGAAAATTTTATCAAAGATACTGAGCACGTCATTTTTAAAATATGCATAATGAAGACAATTCTGTCCTCTGAATAACGGAATTAATAAATTACAGGGTGTTTCATATAACACACATCTGAGATATTTCTATTTTTATCAATGGTACAGAAAGAAAATATTTTGTTTTGAGAATTAAAGACGTTCTTTTATATCATTAATAGTAACAAAAATAAAAAAGATAAATTATTGGAATGTTAAAAGTAATAATTGTATGGAGCGGAGTGAGCTCAATGATTGAAATAACACATGAAGGAATTTGACGTAAAAATAATAAAAGAAATACAAAGGCTATGGAATTCGTTTGATCCAGAAACATTACGTTTACATATCCTCTTTCAATGATGTGGAACAGATATTAATTTATATGTAACTCATTACATAGATGGCATAAGTAAATTTCATCAACACAAACACATACATTAAAGAATATATTTTTTCTAAAACTATATTACTTAAGAAAGTTATTTGGTTATAAGATTAGATTTTTTTTGCTAATAAAATTAATTAGACTGTGAATTGCATTTAAATACAAAAGGAAAACATTGTTTTACTGAATATGAATATTTTTCTGCCTTTTTTTGTGAAGTAGTAATAAATCAAATTATGTTACATTTATATGATCGATGACTAAACTAGTTTATGTAAAAATTTCGAATTTACATTTGTAAAAAGATACAAAAATATCGGTCCAATTGTAAGATTCTCCACAAACTTAAACGTTAATAATACTAAGATAAACCATCGAAGTATCGGTCTGAAACAATTTACTATACTGTAATTTTCTACGTATATCATTTACGATCATCTATGAGCATTTTCATAAAACAGTCCAAGACAATAATGTTTCTGATGCACGTTTGTGTAACGAGCAACTTAGATATATAATTACTTAAATATTTTGATTATAGTTTTCGATTTTAAGTTATTTATTTCTAGCTAGAAGTTAAATATGGGTGCAATTAATAGTTAGATTTCTAATAATGATCGTTTTGCTATTATCGATATATTTTGGATTCATGATAATATATTCAACATTGTATATATTAGTACCAATAAAACTACAAAGATTTATATGTGTCGTAGTTTTACTGATAACATACTAGATTTAACGAGCCAACGAAATTAAACAGATTGTTGCAAAGAGTTATAAAAGTGATTTGAACATACGCGCAAATTGATTTCGTAATATTTACACAATTTTATTTAATAAAAGATATACTTATTAGCATACTATCAAATAGCAAACTAATTTAACAACGTTTTATAATTAAAGGTTAGATCTAAAGTATTACGTACAGTACATTTAAAAGTGTGAGTATTAATTGATAATGAATATTTATGTAAAGATAAGGTGCAGAGAGTGCCTTAAATTATTTTCATTATTATCATAGGTTGCCAAAAATTCAAGATAATGAGTTTCTATTTTTAGCCGACATAGGTTACGAAAAATTCAAGATAATGAGTTTTTGTCAACCTATTCAGCCTACTGGTTCCAATAATTTTTAGTGTGAATCTTCATGGAAATATATTTATTACTTAATGTATTGTACTCATATTAGTGAAGTAATGAGAGAAGAAATCTTAAGTGAATGAAGTTAAATGGTTTCGCGAGCATTTTGTATTTTCTGGCTGGCGAGTGAAGCACTTCCAATTTATTGGTTGTAGGTAGTTTGTAACGAAAGAAGTGTTGTCTGCACTGAAAATAAATCTTTTCTTCGAATAATTTGCATTGTCGAAACCTCATGTTACTATTTTATATGTAACTTCGAAACCAATGGATTGTGAGAAATTGAATTTATCATTGATACGTGAATAATCTGATATCAAATGAGGAATATCTAATGTACTTAGATACATTGCATATACACGTACATTGGTCAACATTTCAACAAGTCTTTTCTCAAAATATTTACAATGAAAGAAATAACAATCTAGTTCGAATAATGATGTTATCGTTTCGCGCCTAATTTAATGATTATTAATGGAATAATAAGTATATTTTTTATTTTATCATTACAGCGAAACAATATATACAAAATATATATTGTCCTGGTCCCGTCGCGTTCAAAATAATTCTCCAACTTTTCGTCTGATCATGAAATTGTAATCTCGAGAAATATTTAAGGAGAAAGAGAAAAAATTAAATCTCACGATTATCTCGAGTCTCTTTGGATTATAAATTGAAATATTACAATTTATGCAGCAATCAACTTAAGAAAAGCGAGAAAACAAACAAAACATTCGTTTGACATTCAGCAAGCCCGTTCAAGTCAAATGTAAAATAAAAAAAAAAAGAATAAACGAAAATGACCGAGACAGTTTAATTGAAACGTTGATAACTGAACAAGCATCCAGTATTCAACCCATCTGTTGGCAGCTATTATCGATGGTAGGAACCGTCTTGGTAGAAATGATTAGTTAGTAGAGTGCAAACAGTCGAGGTGATCGGATCGTCAAGTCCAGCCTTCACGTGCAACATCGAACGTAGACAGCATTTGCCGGATATAGATCACCGATTATGAAGGAATTTATTTTTTCATTCATGGTGTTGCTCACCTGCGCGACCGTGAATGTCGCCTTTCCGCGTGCCAATTACACGATCCTTCGAAACGAAATATTGGAGTACGAGCAACGGCTGATGATAGGCGCCAATCTGACTCTGAACGACATTGAAAGGGCCGCCAACAAAGTCTTAATGAAAGTAAAGAAAGAAGAATTGAACGCTGGTTTGTTTGCTGTTTAAAACTCATAATGTCTCGAAACATTCGCACAGTCGATTGAGATCATGCGAGATGGCATAAAGCTCAGAAACCTGTTTAATATCTTGTTCCGTTTATCTTTGCCTCGTTTGATTTACAAATGAGCAATATTGTAATCTTGTTATTCATCTGTGCTTCATGTTCATGAGCCAATCGACAAAAGAATTATCTATCACGGACAATGGAAATTGTTCCTCGGTCCATTTTTCTTTATTTCTTATTTCCCACTTTCGTTGCGAAGTAACATGGATTAAACAACGTTGTTTCTTACCATGTTACTTTCCTATGTCTATCTCCGTAGTATTGAAGATTCCAATCAATGTTCTCAGGTTTCAAAAATCTCAGTCGATATGCTCCTGCACGAAACTTTCTCGCCGTGAAAGAGGATATCGAGAGATCGAAGGTCTTCCATTTGCTCCGCCGTATGCCCAAAGGAGCGGTGCTTCATGTTCATGACACGGCTCTTGTTAGCGGCAATTACTTGTATCATAACATCACGTTCCGTGACAATTTATATGTCTGCATCGACAAAGGTGTTATTAATTTGCATTTTTTCCGAGTACCTGACAAATCGTGCAGCTGGGAATTACTGAAGAAGGTACGCGAGGATCCTGAACGAGCCGAGAAAGTGAACAAAATGATCAGACAGAGGATGTCGATGGAGTGTGACGATCCAGCGTCTGCTTATGTAGACGTTAACAAAGCATGGGACAAGTTCGTGAACATATTCTCATTCATTACTCCCTTGCTCACGTATAAGCCTATTTACGAGGATCATTTTCTCCGAGGTTTGGAAGAATTATACGAAGATAATGTAATGTATCTCGAGCTTCGAACCACCTTGCCAACTCTGTACGATTTCGATGGTACCAAGTATAAGCCAGAAGATTTGGTCGATATCTATCAAAGTCTTACTCAAAGGTATTTCTCTCCTTTGCTCTCCTTCTTTGCATCTTAAGTTTTTTTTTTTTTAAACTCTTCGTGCGTCACGCTTGCTCTTTAATGTCATACTGGTCGACCACGGCAATAAATTATTTTATTACTTACAGGTTCAAGGAAAAACATCCAGACTTCATAGGAGTCAGAGTAATCTACGCTCCAACGCGAGCTGCCGGTCGCAAAGAAGCGGAATATTATATCAAAACCATGAAGAGATTAAAAACGTTGTATCCTAATTTTATGGCTGGTTTCGATCTGGTTGGACAAGAAGATTTGGGACGCACACTCGAGTATTTCGCGGATTTATTAAAAAATATTGGAGAACGCAATATTAATTTCTTTTTTCATGCAGGCGAGACGAATTGGTTGGGCACTTCCACCGACGAAAATCTTGTCGATGCTATTTTATTAAATACCAAACGTATTGGCCATGGGTAAGAACAAATAATTAACTACGAGTAAACTGACAAAATAATTAGACGTTCTGGCTTTTAAACGTAGATATGCATAGTGATCTTTTCATAGAGTAAATAGTTTCCTATAGTTTAGAATAAGTAGTTTAGAATATTTCTAAAAATTGATCAAGTACTAATTAAATCGATAAGGACTGTTCATCTTGAGATATAACTTGGAAGCCTATCAGAAATAGATAAAAATATTCCAATAGATAGATAAGCATCAGATTTCATCACTTATTCTTTACTTATCTTATCACATTATTCAGATTGTAGATCTGAACAAAAAAAAAAAAAGAGACACGAGTGTAAGAAGTAAACTTTTCAAACATTAACAATAGTATAACTATACAAATTTGTATCTAGATACGCGCTGCCCTCTCATCCCTTTCTTCTGGAACTCGCCAAAAAAATGGATATCGCTATCGAAGTAAATCCAATCTCCAATCAAGTTCTAAGACTTGTCGATGATCTCCGAAATCACGCTGCCAGGCCATTGTTCTCTGAAGGGTATCCAGTGGTTGTATCCAACGACGACCCTGGATTATGGGGTGCGAGAGCTCTCAGCTATGATTTCTACGAAGCCTTCATGGCACTGATGTCGGTACATGCTGATCTCAGAAGTCTCAAACAATTGGCTTGGAACTCGCTTTCTTACAGCACTTTGAATAACTCTGAGACACAGAAAGCACTGGACATTTGGGAAAGAAAATGGCACACTTTTGTTAAGGACATAGCATACGACAATTCACAACTGAATAGACAAAGAACGACGACTACTTGATTGACTATTTACGAACAATCAAATAAAAGACATACCCTTTTATATTACAAATAAAGGATCATGACTTTATCTTTTAATAAAATTTGCAATAAAAACAGCACTGTCTTTTATTGTTAATTCATACAATTCTTTGATTTGTGTTAACAGCTCGTAATTATCGTCGGATATGCGTTCCATTCACGTTCTTCTTTTTTTTTTTTTTTTT